CAACAAGAGTTGCTCACCCGTAGAGTCGACACCCAGAGCATTCTCCCCCCGGTGGCCACGCTAGGGGCGCTCTGGTGTTGTAACTCTATCCCCCCCGCTGCTCCAGTGCGCCACTCTGGGATGCAGGGGTGTGGGGGTTCGTCCCAACACGCCGGGATCGGGACGTGTCCAAGTTGCTCCCAAATCGCGGACCTCTGAAAAATTAAAACGGGAGGGGCCGTCTGCAAGATTAGATTTGCTCTCCACTCGTTCTATGTAGACAGATTAGATGCTTTCAGCCTGGCTACTGTCAGCCAAAAGTCCCCGACGATGGAGGTGCTATCGACCTGGGGTGAGTAGCCGCGAACCAGATTTGCCGAAGTGCTGTCGTTGTCACAGAAGAGAAAAACTGAGCGGTTCTGCAGGCGGGTACGCCAAGTTTCAAAAGCTACCGGGGCTGCCAGAAGCTCCAGCTGGCCCATGAATGACTTGCGTTGAAGCCATTTCTCAACGAGGGTTTCCGGGACAGGCCAAGCCGTGTACCCAGAATATCCGTCGATGGGGTCATGAAGGAAGGCTCCCAATATTCGCTGCGGGACACGCTCGGGGACATCTGAGGCGTCCGTGTACAGCAGAATGGGGTTGATGTGATGGACTTTTAACTCACGGGATGGACTCGTGGAAAGGAAGCACTTCATCTGGCGTAGGGCCAGCATGAGCTCAGCCGTCAAAGTCTCGACTGGATAGGAGGCATATTGTCTGCGACGGAGCGGTCCCGTACAACAGCGCCCCACACGTCCGAAGAGCGTGGAACATAAAAACTGGAACTTCCCGACCAGGCTACCTGCGAGGGCGGGAGAGAGCCGACCCGTACTCAAGACTTTGTCAATGGTGTCTTGGAGGAAGGCCAGGCGAGACTCCTTTGCCTGGACATGGATAATCTTTTGACTATGTAAAGACTCGGTATTAAAGCAAACTCCCAGGATGGCACATACCTCAGACGGAGGTTGTGACTTCTCCGGGTCTAGCTGGAATCCGAGAATTTGAAACGTTTCCCTGAGGCAGAAGACGGCAGACTTTATGGTTGCAGATGGTTCTACAACGAAAAAGTCGTCGAAGAAGTGGTCAGTGGTCGAAGAGAATAATCGTTGGATGACTCTCGCTATCCACTCTGCCACTCTACAGAAATTTGGCACGGCGTGGCCTGCCCCGAAAGGTTGTCCGTACATTTCATGAAGCGACACTTCTCGCTGCTCCGGGTTGTAGACAGCCGTGATTGCAAAACGTACATCTTCCGGTGAAAGTGGGATCTGTCTGTACGCGCCTTTCATATCCTCGGTAGCCATCGAGATCCGTTCAACAGATCCGGCTAACGCTCTACATAGAACGCCCACGTAGTCCACCATGACCATAGGTACTTTTTGCAAGCGATGCGCTGCTTGGTTGACTCCGGATGCAGTATGGTCGTCAATCCTCCTATATTTCTTCTGACCCCCAGTGTCCTGTCCTTGTTCCAGGCCGAAACTCGGCGTAACTTGGAGTGGGCCTGGGTACATGGACCTCGCCTGCTGCAAAGTCATGGCTGGGCCCATGGTGCCGGCTTTGACTTCCTTCTGAGTCTTTTCCCAGATGGCACATGCCAACTCCTTGGACCCCTTTTCTGCCATGTAACGGACTCGGTCGATCATTCGTTCTGATCGCTCATTGCAACCTGTGATGAATTCATCCCGTGACATGATTGGCCTAACCTCCAGCTGCTCGAAGAAAGGCGATTCATGAGCTCTGCCTGTGATCTTTAGTCCTTTCAAACATAGCCCTGGAACCTGTTTGTCTTCGATGCCCAGGAGGTCTTGGAGGCGTTCCATGAGGAGCGTGTTCACCTTAGTACCTAGCTTCTTGGCAGTCCAGGAAGCACTCCTATTAACTTGTGATTGCTCCTCTCTCAAGTCGTTCGCCCAAGTTTTTATCATGTGTAATGCATCCATCCTTCTTGAAATCAAACTCTGTACATCGACGAATTCGGCGATCGCTGAGGCATGTTCTGGCTTGAGCGATTTGAGAGAGTCAAAAGGGTGATCCAAGCCCTTTGCCAACCGCAAGTGTTCTGCTGGGTCACAAAGTCCGTCGGCGATCAGTTGCGTCCTTTTTCCGAAGCTGGGTTGACTCCCGGCTTCAACTGCATGAAGCCGATAACGCCTTTGTGGCTCGGCAGCAAGTGTGGAGTCTGCAGGAGGCTCTGAAGTCCCAGTGCGCTGTTCCTGCTCCACCCCTGTTGCATTCGGCGTAAAGATTACTGGGTTTGTCAACGTCTGAGTCTCCGAGTGTTCCACTCCCGGACGTCCCTGGGACTCGACCCTCAGAGGAGGGTCAATATTCAACTCCAGCGCAACAGCTCTGGTCAGGGGTGCGTTGGGACCGGAAAAAATTTCTAT